CTCAATGCAAGCTGTCTGAGGGAGACGCACCACACACCTGCACCATTCGACATGGTGTCTGGGGTGCCAGTGCATTCGTTCAAAACCGTCGCCGACTCCTTCTGGGGATTTCATCAGGTGGAGTTGGAGGAGGAGAGTAGACGCCTAACCACGTTCATCACGCCGTGGGGCCGTTTTCGATACTGCAGGACGCCCATGAGACATGTTCAGCGTCAGATGCCTACACCAAGAGGTTTGACGACGCTGTTCAGGATGTGCCCCGCAAGTACAAGTGCGTGGATGACACTCTTCTCTATGACTCTAGTGTGAAGGGGGCGTTCTGGCACACCTACGATTTTCTGGAGACCTGCGCTCGCACAGGTATCACACTGAAACCAGAAAAGTTTTTGTTCTGCAGGAGAGAAGCCCAGTTTGTGGGTTTCCTCCTGGGGTGGGACCTCTACCAGCCCACTGCCCAACGTCTGTCAGCCATCAGAGACTTCCACATGCCTGATCAGCCATCAATCACTGACATCAGGTCCTGGCACGGCCTGGTTAACCAGTTGGCTCCCTTCCTTGCCACTGCACCTGTGATGGAGCCCTCCCGTGAGCTCCTCAAGAAGCCAGTGGGCAAGCGGGTGTATTGGGACGACCAGCTGCGGCTCAAGCTTCGCCAGGCCCAGGACACCATCTGTCAGTTGGCTAGGGGCGGCTTGATGTACTACGATAAATCCAGACCTACGGCAGCTGTCACTGATTGGAGCAGGGAGGGCATCGGCTTCGTCGTCCTGCAACAATACTGTGCCTGTGCCTCTCCAGAGACGCCTTTCTGCTGCAGGGGAGGGTGGCGGTTGGCTCTGTGCGGTAGCCGACATCTGAGCACGGCCGAGGCCGGCTTCGCTGCAGTAGAAGGGGAGGCCCTGGCTGTGGTATGGTGCCTGCGCAAGGCCAGGCTGTTCCTCCTTGGCTGCCCGAACCTCATTCTGGTGACGGACCACCGCCCCTTAGTTGGCTTGTTAGGGGACAGAACCCTCACGGATGTGGCGAATCCGCGCCTGTTCAGGTTCAAGGAGAAGACCCTGCAGTTCCGGTTCACGGTCAAGTCCTTGCCAGGGAAACGGAACTGTGCAGCTGACGCTCTATCCCGCTTCCCCTCCCTCAAAGCGGCGCCCAACGCTGAGGACAAGAACCAAGAAGAGGACCTGTGCGCTGCAGTGTGTGCAGTCACAATTGCAGCACTGGATCAGGATGGGTGCATCACTATGGACGAAGACACAGTGTGCAAAGCGGTTGCGGACAACCCAGTATACCAGATTCTATTGTCGAGGGTGCTGGCGGGCGACTGGCGCCCCCACAAGTCACAGGAGGTGGCCTGTCTGCGCCCGTACTTCTTGGTGAGGGACAGGTTGGCTTGTCATCCCCGACTCCCTCCACCACCGGGTCGCCGTTAACCTGCACGTGGGGCACCAGGGCCTCGACTCGATGCTCAGGCGGGCCCGGCAGTCTGTCTATTGGCCTGGCATGGAGGGTAACCTGCAGTATCATCGGTCCCGGTGTGCTGCTTGCGAGACCCACGCCCCTTCCCAGCCTCCGGAGTCGTTGGTCTTGATCTCAGTGCCAGACTATCCCTTTCAACAAGTGGTGGCCCATTTGTTCCACCTGCAGGGCCACACGTACCTAGCATATGCTGACCGGCTCACAGGTTGGCTGGAGATCGCCCACTTCCCCAACGAGGCCACCTCTGGAGAAATCATCGCCAGTCTGCGGGGTTACTTCACGAGGTGGGGGACACCTGAGCAGATCTCCACGGATGGAGGTACCAACCTTGCCAGCCTTGAGATGACAGATTTCCTCAAGTCATGGGGGGTCGAGATGCGCCTCTCGTCGGCCCACTTCCCCCAGTCCAATGGCAGGGCAGAGGCTGGGCTCAAGGCTGCCAAGAGGGTCCTCAGGGATAACACTGGGCCCGGGGGTAGCCTGGACTGCGATAGGACATCCCAGGCCCTCCTCCAGTACCTGAACACGCCTCTGCGGGGGGTGAACAAGTCGCCAGCCCAACTTGCCACCAGCCGCCAGCTCCGTGATGGAGTTCCCTTGGCCAAACAGCACTATAAGGTGGACCAGCACTGGCGGCGGGCACTTCGTTTGAGGGAGGTGCGCTTGGCCGAAACCCAGGACGGGGTTCTTCTGTCGCGGGGGGAGGTGTTCCGCCAGCTGGCTCCACTAGCCGTGGGCACGCAGGTGCGTGTGCAGGACGCAGCTACCAAGCTCTGGGACAGGACAAGCATAGTGGTGGAAGTCCGCCCTCACAGGCAGAATGCCGCCAGGTTGATTGGCAGTGGCAGGGTGTCCATCCGCAACAGACGCCACCTGCGAAGCTGCGCCACGCCTGTGCCTACCACTCCAGTGGTGCATCAAGCTATGCCTCCTGGCCCCCCTTCTGCTGTGCCCTCCGTACCCGCGCCCTCGCTCGCACCCCAGGCCCCTCCCCAGTCGGGCGTGGCCAGGCCCGGGAGAGGCTGTAGGCCCCCGGGCTGGTTGGCTGACTACGTGTAGTGTATGTGGTGTAAAATTGGTTTTGAGGGTTTTGTTTTTTCCTGTGTGTCTCTTTGTTTGACTGTTTTTTCCTGCATTGTTGTTTTTATGAATGCATTGTTTTCCTTTTGTTAGTTCAAATGTGCATTGTCATTTCCTTTTAACTTTGGTGGAGGAGATGTGAGATTGTGAAATGGAGTATCATCGTACGATATGTGGCCGCGCCCGGTTACCAGTCACCATCTGACGCTGGAGTAGTAAAGTCTGTAAGGAACCTGGTCTATTATTCAAGCCTCCCACACCTAGTCAACAGTTTATATTTGCTCGAAACAAGGCTAACAAAGTACTTGGGTTCATACAAAGGAGTGTTAGTTACAAAACTAGCGAGGTTATCATATAGCTATATATTGCGCTTGTAAGACCTCACTTTGATAAAGCGGTTCTGTTCTGGTCACCGTTCGACAGAATGGATATAGAATCCCTAGAATTAATTCAGGGTAGAATGGCAAGACTAATTCCGGGCATTAGGAATCTTGAGTACAGAGACAATGTTAAAGCATCTTAATTTGCACTCCCTCGAGATACGTAGAGTGAAGGGCGATATAATCGAGGTGTATAAATGGAAGTCAGGGCTAAACAAATGTGATATATCAAAGGTACTCAAACTATCCAACCAGGAGCAAACTTATAGCAATGGATTTAAATTAGAGAAATTTAAATTTAGGCGCGAGATAGGTATACATTGGTTTGGAAATATAATAGTAGATGAGTGGAACAAGTTACCAAACATCATCAATAACTCGAATACACTAGATAGCTTCAAACAGAGGTTGAATGGATATATGTGTGATGGGGGTTGGTCCAACAGGCCCGCTGCAATTTCCTTCATTCTTATCAGGGCCGGATTCAGGCGTGGGCAAAGTGGGCAGCTGCCCAGGGGCCTTCACATGTGCGGTAGTAGCAATATCAGGGCTGGTCGACTTGAAACCACTTTTGTGTGTGTTAGGAATTTGTACACTATCAATAAATATACAGTTCATTAAAAATTTCTCAATATTCTAATTTCCTCAATATAACTGCATATGGCTTCAAAATTCTCCAAAGAAGTGTTCAAATTTCAAAATTTTCCCGGGGACTTACAGCGCCCCCCGGAACTCCCAGATGTTTAGGCTCGCTTCACTCGCCACCCCACCCTCTTGGATAGTTATAATGAGGAAGAGGTTGCCCATGGGCCTCCACAGGTCTAAATCCGGCACTGATTCTTATGTTCTTACCTATGTTCTTGTCTTTTCTCTCACCTGACCCGCTTACCCGGGAAAATACTTAATCGCAATATGGTTCTCCTCTACTGAACAGTTATAATTATTTATAATTGGTAATTTTATTAATTTACTACTGGGTAATTTTATATTAACTTTTGGTAAATAGACAAATCTCAGTTTAGGAGATAAATTTTCTCACATTACGGCCAAATCAAAGTTTCTGAATTGCTAGTAAGTCGAGCACCCGGGTCATTTAAATTCACTTCTTTGTCAACTCGTCCGAGTTATTATGTACTACATATGCATTCAAGCTACTTAATTATCTAGTACATTGTGTAAAGAACATTTACAGGTATATTCTACTAATTTTTCCTAATTGTATATATATTTGCCGTGTTAATTTTCATGACTGTTAGTAGCTGTAGGGACAATCTTCGTGTGATCCGTTTTTTTCGGAATGTCTTCTTTAGTAGTGTATAAACCAGTAATATAGTTGGTATATAAACCAGAGTGTATATATATATATATATATATATATATATATATATATATATATATATATATATATATATATATATATATATATATATATATATATATATATCAGTAAAGAAAGACAAGTGACAGAAAACAACAGAATATCAGTAAAACAACACTTCACACAAGTGTGCTCTGAGGTGTGAGGTCCTGTGCTAGGGGCCCACACAGTTTGCCCTGATGTAAATTTTGTCTTATCGTGTTTTGTTTCAGCGAACTGTAATTTATCTTGTGTTATTGGTTCTTTTATGTGTTGTTTTCACTTAACCTAAACATCGCACTGCACATGTGTGTTTATAGTGAACAAAAATCTGTGAAAAATTGCTACACAAATAAAATTAGCCTCAGGCCCCAGTACAGTTAATCTGCCCCTGACCCCACACCCTCATTTCCTCACCTACAGTTCACAAACGTATATAAAGAGATTCCTTCATCTCCACACTGATAACATAACTTTACACCAATTGATTGTGTACACTAAGCTGAGGTCTATTGAAGTGAGAAGTCAGAATCTCAACTATATAGACGTTTTAATTAACTCGGACAACAGCCTACACTCGATATTGTTCATTTCCAAGGATATCTACTGTATTATATTCACTGCTGTCTGTATGTATGTATGTAATATGGCAGCTCCTTTATACTGTGTGTTTAGTAATATCTATTTTTCTTCTTTTCAGACTGAGGGAGTGGAGATGTGCCACTGATCAAATGAGGATCAAAAGTAATAAAGAAAATGTAAATTTAGTTGTGAAGTAAGAGAGGCCACAAGACATATTAAATAGAGCAGATGGATTATTAAGAGGAAAACAGTGAAATTCGATGAAATAAAATAAAAAGAAAGATAAGTAGAATATTTCATACTTATTCATCTCAATGTACACTTATACTATGTAAGTGTATAGAGCATTTAAAAATTCTTGGTAGTCTTCTGAAATTTTACACAAACGTAGTGACAAGAACTAATTTCCTTTTATATTAATATATATTATCTAGTGAATTATTCTATTTACAGTAAGTGCTTAAAGAATTTAGTTGTCAAAGCACACATATACACACAAACAAGTCTCCCTAGTTTTCAAAAGTTATTGTCTAGTGAAGAAATATAAGATAAAATTAACGATACTTAAAGGTCTTACTCGTTGAAAGCACGTAAGCACATTATAAAAATAACTTAAAAGTTTTGGGGAAATTTTTCAACATTTAAACTCCCTTGCGGCTCGTGTAAACATTCTTAATGAAGATGAAATTAGCTTCGGTACTAACACAGGGGCCGACGATGTTGAACTTTTGAACTTGGATGTAAAAAAAAGTTCACGATAAAAATATTCAGAAATGACGACGACGTTCACACCTACTGAGTCATCTGTGGGTGCTGCTGCGGGGTCCTGGACGTCTCACAGCCACCGGAGTTCACCTCAAAGCGCAACCTGGAACCCGTGGCAGGGCAAGAACTTTTCCAATACCAGCTGGACACCGCAGCATCCAGCAGACACGAACGAGTCCAACTATATTTCTACCGTCCCTGTCACTTGGGACTCCCTCTGGAACGAAACCACCAAAATTGCGACTGTAAATGATTCAGAATGTGAGTCCCTTGATTGGGACGTCCAGTTAAACAACTCGGCGCAGAACGTGAGCGGGAACATATCAGAATACGATTATAACTATGATGAAGCATTGGAAACGTTCTTCTGGGGTCAGCTGGCACCGCCGCTGGTGGTGTACGTCGTAACCTACGTGGTGGGGGTGGTAGGCAACGCTCTCATCATCTTCACTATCTGTCGCTACCGACGACTGAAGACCACCACTAACGTCTTCCTCTCCTCCCTGGCCAGCGCTGACCTCCTCCTCATCCTCATCTGTATCCCCGTCAAGGTGAGTCATTGTCCTCCGTCAGGGTGAGTCACTGCCCCCCGTCAAGGTGAGTCACTGTCCCCCGTCAAGGTGAGTCACTGTCCTCCGTCAGGGTGAGTCACTGCCCCCCGTCAAGGTGAGTCACTGTTGTAACAATGTCATAAGTGTTTCCCGCCTGGGGGTTCGAGCCAATCTCAAGGACCTGTGAGGGTGAATGCCTTTGGCCTGAACCAATAAGAGAACCTGTGAGACGTGACGTCATGAAAAGGTAGCGTCCCTTTGTGGGCGACGCAGTTTGAAAAACACAGTTTGGTTTTGGAGAGTTAAGTGGGTGAGTGTAGGTGTCACCACCTCACAGGGAGGGATATAATGTGAGTACCTTTTAGGTTTACCCGATTCACGAAATGTATTGATTCAGGTGACCCTGGTTAGCTAGCTAGGAAGATGGGTTATTGTTTTGAAGTGTAACTATTCATTTTGAGTAATGTCGTTAACAAACGAAGAACCTTTATGATTAGTTCTCAATTTCCTTGGGTATGAAGTATTATCCTCTCTAAGTACCTTTAGTGGTATGCAGTAATACAGTGAGTCCTAAGTAATAACTATTTTAATATTTCCCCTCAGTTATTCAGTGTACCTCAGTCTCCCCTTAACACTCCTCATGTAATGAGTGATTGTCAGACCAAACCTTACAGCCCAGAATTATGTCACATATAACAGCAAGTACACCACAGACCTCGTGGTACCACCACATTCCGATTTGACACACCTCAGGTCGACCCAAGGGACTTGACCTGGCCCGCTAATGACGTGAGCCGGTGACCTACAACCGCACCTAGCCAAGACACCTGGCCAGGACCACACCTGCACACAATTATCCAGATCAAACCAGTTTAGTGTTAATTGTTAGAGGTCAGAAGCCGGCTGGGCCGACCCCATATAAAGGCCCTACAGTCCCGTCCACGGGCATTCAACTTTCCATATTCGGCATTCGAGATTCGAGATTCCATTCGGGATTCCATTACGATTCTCATTCTGGTTGCTGTCATCTCTCTCCCGTTCGGGTCGTCACTCGGTTCACTAAGCAGAGTCACGCACGTCCCCTCCCCAGGTCGGGAGGGAGACCTCCCGACTAGACCACGGCATCGTCAGCTAAGCAGACTCTCCCTGTGATGGAGGCAGCCCAGCCAAGCATTCACTGGGCCTACGTCAGGGTACACGTGAGTCTTGTCAGAACGTCCTAGGGTGAGTTACCTACTGTGGGAAGTGTATTCATTCAGGTGTGTCCGAGAGTCAGTGTCAAGTAACGTAAAGCATGATGTGTTAGTACCCCGATATAATAGTGATATTAATGTGTCCATGTCATTGAGTGAATTAATAAATAGTTGTATCGAAGAGGTGTTTAACAAGTTGTCCCTTTAAGAAGTAATATATGTGTATTGACATACGAGATAAGATAAGCGTAGTGACGCTGTGCAAATAACATCCAGGCCACGCTACCAAGTTTCCTATCTTTACATTCCTACTCTTTCTACTCCTATATATATATATCTTCCTCTTCTCTGTTTATTCTGTCTCATTACATTGGTGGCAGCGAACTATGACGTTAACCCACGCTCCCCTCGTCCCTTGTTATTGGTAACAGTGTACTTAACGTAAACCCATGCCTTCCCTCGGTTAGCCATAACACCTGGCTCGTTAGTTCAAAAGTGCGTAATAAGAAGTTCCTGCTAGTAGCGTGAAAAGTGTCCTAATGTGTCTCCGTTACAGCTCAAGTAAATGTCTCTCGTCGTGGTAGGCGCGAATTTTTACTAGAAATATGTTCAGTGCTTAACGTAATTTCTCAGTGTCACCCGCGATCTGTGACATTCTCAGTAGCCCAAGTGCAGTTTGATTGTTGGTCAGTGTTAAATGTAGCCATTGTGTTTTAGTGATGAAAGCGGTGACTGTACTAACTGTTATAACTTAACATGTCTTTTAACCTACATCCTCCTCCCTGTCCTAATCCTTACCTCACCCTCCTTACCCTTCCTCCCATCCCTGCCCTGCCCTGCCCCGCCCCTCCGTTCCGTGCACCTCCCCGCCCCGCGAAGCCTCGGTTTGGCCCGATCAACCACGCCTCGGCTCCTCCCCACCTCACCCGCAACGCACCAGCCTGGCTGGGCCTGGCCAGCCTCGCCTCGCCCCGCGCCGCCCCGCCTCGCCCCACCCCGCTCGGGTGACCTCACGTCCTTCTGACCCGCCCCGCCGCTTGACCACACTAATCCCCCGTCTTTTGTCCCGTGAGCTGTGTGTTGATGATGATGGTTAATATAAAGTAATATTGCGATGAATGCAGAGCTTCACTCAGTGTATTTTTATGCTATTATGATTTGTGATGTACTCTTTGACGCGCAGTGATAAATGATATTCAGTGTAGTGCGCAGAGCTTCACTCCCCGACCCAGCCTGATGAGAACATTGTCGTGACGGAAATGATAGTTGCCAAACATTGACCTAACATATAAAGTAAACTTTTTTTTTTGGCGAATGCACTTCCAACTAATCCATCACCCCTTTAGGATTGTTTCTCTGTCAAATGTCACACACAGTACCACCCATGGCCAGCCGGACGTCAACCACAGTACATACGAGCAGAGAAGAACCAGCATGATGAAAGCAGCGTGATGAATGCAGCTTGATGAAGGCAGCACGAAACCCACCACACACCACGTCACTTCTTTCAAGTCCTCCCTTGGTATAGGATTAAGAAGATTTTATATTTTTCTACTTTAGGAAGTAAGGAGTGTGGAATGGATCGCCACACAACGAACCCTGGTGAGCCCAGCCAGGGAGGGATTCACCACTGTGGAAGGTGTAAGACAGGACGGTCTTTGGTCTCGCCGACACTCACGTACGGAGGGCGAGCCCTGGTCCGCGGAACCTGCCTTACAGTCATCTAAGGAGACGACAGCCCAAACGGTGGACCGGCTTTCATCCCGGCCGGAGAGGGCCGTCGGCAGATGAACAGAAAATCGTCTGGAATATGTTGAAAATGATGATGTTGCAGAGAAGAAATGCAGATGAAGCAGAAAAATTCATCTGGAATATGACGGAAAACGAAGATGTATAAAGAAACTCAGATGGAGCAGAAAAATTCATCTGGAATATGAAAATGAAGATGTATAGAGGAAGAACGCAGATGGGACAGAAAACTCGTCTGGAAGAGTATAGAAACCAGGAGGAAGTGAGAAGAAGTCAGAAGGTGTGGAGAAACGACCTACAAGGTGCGGTATGTGAAGAAAGAAGACAGAAGATGTGCTATGTGAAGAAAGAAGACAGAAGATGTGCTGTCCTGACATCACAAGAAAGTCGATGATGAAGGACCAACCGACTACAGCTGCTGAGCTGCCGCCATCCCCTATTTTTCAGATACCAGCTGGATGGAAGACGTGAGCTATGCCGGACCCAACTAATGTACTGATGTTGTTGATGTATAATAAAAAGATATCAATACCCTAATATGTGAAGTAGGAACATTTTTTGTGTATTTTGAAGTATTTTCTCTGATTTTGTTGATGTTTACTACAAAGAATGTCTTTTTTTAGTCTCACTTTTTTCTATGAGTTCATTTGATCAATGTCTTGGACTATGAAACACGATGTTGTAGCTATATTACTGACTGAGATGAATTATTATTTTGACATGGGCTGATAAGGAAATGTAACACCTGCTATTGTTTGTAGAATGTGATTTGCAAGGTTGCCTCGGACACTATGCTACATATGAAGGATTTTTTCATTCTATGTTCACTTGCTATGTTTCCTTTTTCTCCTGGCATAGAAGCTTTGATCTTGGCGGGAGGTATAGTGAGCTTTGTCAGATCAAACTAGCGCCAGTAGAAAAACATACACCTATGAGATTGTTGTTTGTAAATGTGAAACTATGTTATCGCCCCAGGGATTATCTTTGATACCACACGTGATGTTGCTGTCTATATGTGGCATCAGTCTCTGTGATGAAGCTTTGGTCTTGGCGGGAGGTGTAATGAGTGATTGTCAGACCAAACCTTACAGCCCAGAATTATGTCACATATAACAGCAAGTACACCACAGACCTCGTGGTACCACCACATTCCGATTTGACACACCTCAGGTCGACCCAAGGGACTTGACCTGGCCCGCTAATGACGTGAGCCGGTGACCTACAACCGCACCTAGCCAAGACACCTGGCCAGGACCACACCTGCACACAATTATCCAGATCAAACCAGTTTAGTGTTAATTGTTAGAGGTCAGAAGCCGGCTGGGCCGACCCCATATAAAGGCCCTACAGTCTCGTCCACGGGCATTACCATTCCATTCGGGATTCCATTACGATTCTCATTCTGGTTGCTGTCATCTCTCTCCCGTTCGGGTCGTCACTCGGTTCACTAAGCAGAGTCACGCACGTCCCCTCCCCAGGTCGGGAGGGAGACCTCCCGACTAGACCACGGCATCGTCAGCTAAGCAGACTCTCCCTGTGATGGAGGCAGCCCAGCCAAGCATTCACTGGGCCTACGTCAGGGTACACGTGAGTCTTGTCAGAACGTCCTAGGGTGAGTTACCTACTGTGGGAAGTGTATTCATTCAGGTGTGTCCGAGAGTCAGTGTCAAGTAACGTAAAGCATAATGTGTTAGTACCCCGATATAATAGTGATATTAATGTGTCCATGTCATTGAGTGAATTAATAAATAGTTGTATCGAAGAGGTGTTTAACAAGTTGTCCCTTTAAGAAGTAATATATGTGTATTGACATACGAGATAAGATAAGCGTAGTGACGCTGTGCAAATAACATCCAGGCCACGCTACCAAGTTTCCTATCTTTACATTCCTACTCTCTATACTTCCTAGCTATATATGTAATTCTCTCATTGTGTTTACCCTCATTACACTCAGCCTAAACCGCAAAACATAAACAAGTCTCCCTCTCTCGCTCTCCACCCCTCACTAGTCTTACGAGTATAACGAAAAGAGAATAAAAGAAATATAAGAAGTATAAG